ATAGCTTTGCTCCCTCATAAACTATAGTCGTTTTCCCGTAATTAGTTCTAGGCGTGATTAATTTAATTTTCTGTCTATTCCGAAGATTATGTGTATTTTCCTTTATATTTAGTTGTATGTCAGATTTGAATGCGTTAGTCGTTATTTTCTTTACCAATATACATGTATAATATTTGTATAGTTGGGAGAGGTTAAGTAATTTACTTTTCTTGTATAGCTTTTCAGTTGACATTAGAAATGGATAATGAAATAATACCTTGATTATTTTGTTTTGAGATCTTTGCAGTGGTTTCAAATTAGTCGGTGCAGCGGACCCCCAGATTTCTATTAAGTACTCAAGATGTGACTTTATTAAAGAATTGTATATAATTGCTTTGACTTTACTTAAGTAATGACTTTTGTTTATTCCTAAATGAACAACGTAAATAAGTTTTGATATGAGGTAATGGTGTGTATATAAAACATTCTAAATATTATTGAACGGCATTAGTTTTAAGATTGTGTAAATAAAATGTCGAGAAACGGTAATAGTATTGTGGTCTAGTATTATACATAAAAACCTTTCTTTTGAATCACCCTATCTATAAAAAAAAAACTGCATCAAAATCCGTTGCATAGTTTTAAAGATTTAAGCATACATAGAGATAAAGGGACATAAAAAACGATTTTGTTTTATACTATGTAGTGATAACACAACGTTGCATGCTTATTATAACAATTTCCAAACGTCAGTTGAAAACAAAAACGTTTAAACAATAAGCAGTTTTTAAAAACCTTTATTGAAAATCGTACAACGTAACAACGCTTAAAAATTTTAAGCAGTTATATCCACCTCTACAAACAATATATTTGTATAGGATTGGGCAATATTATCGATATTTTTCCAAAAAAAAATCGATATAAATCAACGATATTTTTTACCGCGATATATCAGCTTTCGATATTTATTTTCAGATATCAAATTCGTATCAAAATCGATATATTTATTTTAAAGTTCTGCTGTCATATCATGTCTTTCTTAAATTTAGAAAATAAGTAAGTAGGCATTACGAGGGTCAAACTGAAAGTTCTTAGAAAATCAAAAACTGATTACATTAGCCAGTTATTAGTTTTATTATATCTTTTCAAAATATTGTCCATTCACGTCAATACACCGCTGCATGCGATGGAACCACTGGGAAAAGCACTTTGCCCACTCGTCCTTAGGGGTCTCTTCAATGGCATCGCGATACGCAGCCACCGCTTCTTCAGCATTCATAAACCGCTTTCCTTTAAGTTTTTCTTTAATTTTTGGAAATAAATAAAAATCACAAGGCGCGAGGTCGGGGCTATACGGCGGGTGACCAGTAATTCAACGTTTGATGTCGCCAAATAGTCGATCGTTCGCTTGGCGGTGTGCGACGAGGCGTTGTCGTGGTGAAGGAGGATCCTACTGCGAGGTCGTTTCTCTCGAACTTTTTCCAAGACAAGTGGCAAACAATTGGTAGTGTACCATTCTGCAGAAACTGTTTTTTGATCCTCTAACACAATTGTTGCAAAATGACCTATCCTTCCAAAGAACGAGGCCACCATTTTTTTTCCCGCACTTCGATCTCTCTTCACTTTAGTTGGCAACTCCTCGAAAGGAAACACCCAATGAGCAGATTGTCTTTTGGTTTTAGGATCATAACAGTAAATCCAGCTTTCGTCACCTGTTAGTATGTCGAACACAGCATTTGAGTCACCTCCGTTAAATCTTTCAATCATTTTACGACACCAATCCACACGATGGAGTTTTTGAGCCTCAGTCAAATTATGAGGTATCCACCGGGCGCAAAGCTTCCTGACCGCTAAATGTTCGTGGAGGATTTTGTGCACTTGACTCATACCGATGCCTAAGCTTGTCCGAATCTGTTGATAGGTCACTCTTTTGTCAGTCTCTATCATACGCCGCACAACACAGATGTTATCTTCAGTCGTCGCCGTAGAAGGCCGTCCCTCACGTAAATCATCAGTGAGATTAGTGCGACCACGTTTAAACTCATTAAACCAGTTGTAAACAGTCGCACGAGATGGGGCTTCATCGTGAAAGGCCAATCGTAGTCTATCATAACTTTCTTGTTGACTTAAATGACATCGAAAGTCATAAAAAATCATTGCACGAAAATTTTCTCGTGTTAAATTCATGATGACGTGACACAGACAATTTTCAATTTGCCGCCAAATCGTAAAACAAATGACAAATGAATGAAATATATACTCAGTAATATTGGCAAAGAGTTATATTTTCAAATTTTAGAATTATTTTTTTATTATATTGTTTATAAGTGGCCAGTTCTAAGAACTTTCAGTTTGACCCTCGTAGACTGTATGAGTTTAGTCTATGACCTGCTTGTCTTTTTTGTATGTCTATTACAATGACACTGCTTGTTGGTTTGGTTGGTATCACTGAGTGTTCTTCTGATGCAAATATCAGATAAATACTCGTTTGTATGAATAATGTAATTTTTGATATCTTGATGATATTGTTTTCTTGGCTTTATGTACCTATTTTAAATAATAAGACTGATGTCAAAACAGCTAGGTGTGTATTTGCTTCAAAATTTCGAATGTTTTGATAATTTTAATTGATAATCGCTTATGTCGTAAAAAAGATCGATACATCAACATATCGATATGTTTTTATGGATATTTATCGAATCATTTGAAATATATCGATATTTTTTCCCATTTGCCCATCCCTATATTGGTAAGCCGATACGTATCAATCACAAACTACATAGGTCTGTATCAATATAGCGATACGCAAAAATATCAATATATATTAATGTCGAAGAATGAGATCCTAAGAGTAAATATATATCAGTAGTACAAATTTTAACATACAATATCCAATGAGGAAGAATTAAAAAAAAAGAAATTACTAAAAAAGCACCTCCACTAGATGGCCACTAGCAAAAATTGATTTTTGCAGGAAACGAATGGACCAAAGACAGTCATTTCCGTTTCTTTTGACTAACATATTAAAAAACTGAAATTTGAAAACTTCGAAACTCAGATATCAATACAAATACGAAACTCAGATATAATACAAGTTGTTTATTGAGTTTCGAAAACTAGTATACTTTTATATATGAAAGAAAACTGGATGAGGGTTGTCATGGAGAAATCAAGTACGTACCGTAGCGACATCTAGTTTGATTTCGGGAACTAATGTTTTTTTTAAATACTTCCTCATTATGGGTGCTTAACAGGAAAAATATGATAGCTTCATTTGGCATAAACTGCTGGATTTAATAAAGGTTTATTTTTTTTATTTAAACATATGTATCCGGACATTTTCCCATATCTGTCTGGATGGCCCAAGATGACCACGATGTAGGCAGCTACGTGCGTCGCGCACCAGTCATACAGCTAATACGCTTATTTTTAAACGTATTGTTAAAGACTTGGATCGTCTAAGTTACAGATTACAATTCACTATGTTATATAATTTTTATCACAATGTTTCATTTTTGATCAATATCGACAATTATTTTAAAATTTTATATTAAAATTTATACGATTTAATACGATAATATATTGATTTACATGTTATTCACAGATGATTTTTTTACGAACTAACATCCATAAAAAGTATATTTGATTAGTCAAAATTTTAAATTACGAAAGATGAATAATAAAAAGAAATGATGTTGAATTTCAAAGACAAAAAGTTTGCATACTGAAACCTAGGAAAATAAACGGTGGTATGGTACACCGTTACAATACTAATAAGTGATAACCAGAGGTCGGAATTAGGTAGAGTTATTTATGTACTTGCATCGAAATGTTGATATTAATTTGGACCTTCCCGGGATTTCTAATAGACAATCCCGTGTGGCCAACAATCTTACAACTAAATAATAATAACAACGTCAGAGATAGACAAATAAAACAAAGATAATTAACATAAATTTTTTATTAGTTTACATTAATTTACAATACAAATTTTGCAACTTTGTACATCCGATGTCATTGATATAAGTTTGGCATCGTCGTGCGTGCAGTAGTATAATTGTATAAAAGTAAATAACTTTTTATTTAAAAAATCTGTCTACGAACTACGAACGTAGACAGATGTCTACGAACAAGAAACAAAACCATATCAAAGAGGCTTTGATTTAAATTAATATTCATATTCGGTTAAATTTCTAACATCATAATTCATAATATCTGTAAAAATTTATAAAATTCTATCTGTAAATGTTTAAATAAGGTCATGTAACATTATTAAATATTACCTATTTATGAAATTATAAAAAACGCGTAGACATCCTACAAAACTACTAAGACAGAGACGAAGAGATGCTAATTTACTCTCTCACTCTGCCCGTTTTTAATGAAACACTGCACAATCCAGTTTAATTTGACATTCGTGTTTATACTACAAATGTCACAGATTACATCGCCACAGAGTGGACGACAAAGATTATAAATAGATGTGCCAAAATAGATATATTGAATTCGTAAGTTGGCCACACCATTAAAAAGCCAGTGTTGGAACATTACAATCGTATTGCATTTATTCAATGAGGAAGTATTTGAAGAAAAAAAGAAAACACTAAAACCCACCTTACTAGATGGCGAATCTAACAAAACCTAATTTTTGCAGGAAACAAATAGACCAAAGATAGTCATTTCTGTTCCTTTTAACTAACATATATAAAACTGATATTTGCAAAGTTCGAAACTTAGATATTCATACAAATACGAAATAATACAAATGGAATATGAGTTATTTATTGAATTTTGAAAATTAATTTACTTTCATAGAAGAAAAAATACCGGAAGGGTTGTCATGGTGAAATCAAGTAAGTACCTTAGCGACATCAAGTTTGATTTGGGGAACTAGTGTTTTTATATATACTTCCTTATTGATATTCTATTAAAACAACAATCAACTACACTTTTAGTATTCTTTATGACATGGTGGACTTGGTTTGTAATTTTGGGTGGCTTTGATATCTAAAACTAACAGCAAATCCGTTTTTATATGTATCTATCGAATATATATCAAATATACCAAGTATTCGTACGAAATAACCCCACCCGTCTAAAATGACATTTGCAGAGTACAACGTGTAAGTAATTTGTCATTTAGAACTGAAGAATATATTATTAAACTAAGATCAGATAATAAATCATCACAATTAATGTTATCTTAATAAATACTCAACAATAAAAAAAAACGTCCGTTCGAAACGAACAACAAAGCACTTTAAATTTCAAAACCACAAAGGCACATAATCTCGAACTCGTATTTGGACGGTGGGACGTCGTACAGTGTAGCGCAGGGCGTAAAGAACTTCGAGCCTGGAGTTCGCTTTTTGAATCATTCGTCTCGCGTTGAGCGCTCGTTTCTACTGATTTTTGTTCGAAATACCAAATACACCATTTCTAATTGGACTCGCTTAACTGCAACACGTGATATGAACCACTCGTTGTTTAACGAACTGAATCCATCTAAATTTAAAGACTAAATTTCTGGTGATAGGTACCAAGGCACATATGACCTACTGGAATGACTCAGAACTGGGTTTAAAAATAGGAAATGTAAATATAAAAAGAGTAACTTAAAGTAAGATTCAAATAAAATAAAATAAATTTGAATGTTAAAAAATATAAGAAACACGAAACGATGTCATATTTATTAATTTTCGATACTCAATTTACTTTTATTACGTCAGAAACAAAATATCATACACAAGATCCAAACATCGCTAATGACATCTAGTTTGATTCCAAAAACTAATTTTTATTTTTTAAATACTTCCTCATTGCCATATGAAAATATGGAAGAATTTGTTTTGACGTTTATTGTAGCAAGTTTATTTTCTTTCTCACTTTCTCTATGAATTTATTCAATAAAGAAAAAACGTGCGACCGTAGTGCTTAAATGAATTCTTTTTCCATGTGAGTGTGACGCTTGCGACACCGTGCGTGCCGTGGTCCACCGTGCAACTTAAAACGCGTGAGCTCGGCCTCGAGTGCGTCGAGTTTGTACCCACGTTGCCTAAGAATTCCTTATCTATTTATTTGATAAAGTTCATCTCATAATTCTTACCGCACCGCACACATTGAGTGACCATTAAGGCACGAGAGGTCGTCTCGTTTTGCGGCTTAGTGCTGATGAAATCAAAAGCAACGCTCGAGGAAGTAGTGAATAAAGTTTTACCCCTAACAACCAGAATGCCGAACATCAAGGTTTTCAGTGGAAGCTCTCATCCAGACTTGGCGCAAAAAATCGTCGATCGCCTCGGCATCGATCTGGGAAAAGTAGTTACAAAAAAATTCAGCAACATGGAAACGTGTGTCGAAATCGGAGAGTCCGTTCGTGGTGAAGATGTTTACATTGTTCAAAGTGGCAGCGGCGAGATCAACGACAACCTAATGGAGCTTCTTATAATGATTAACGCGTGCAAGATTGCGTCGGCATCGCGTGTTACCGCTGTTATTCCTTGCTTTCCTTATGCTAGACAAGACAAAAAAGATAAAAGCAGAGCTCCAATTACCGCCAAATTGGTTGCTAATATTCTTTCGGTCTCTGGTGCTGATCATATAATCACAATGGATCTTCATGCATCCCAAATCCAAGGATTTTTTGACATACCTGTAGATAACCTCTTTGCTGAACCTGCTGTCTTGAAGTGGATAAAAGAAAACATTCCTGACTGGAAAACCAGTATTGTTGTTTCTCCTGATGCTGGTGGTGCTAAAAGAGTAACCTCTATAGCAGACAGATTGAATGTTGAGTTTGCTTTGATCCACAAAGAGAGAAAAAAGGCTAATGAAGTTGCATCTATGGTGTTAGTAGGTGATGTCAAAGATCGTACTGCTATCCTGGTGGATGATATGGCTGACACCTGTGGTACTATTTGTCATGCTGCAGAAAAACTGATTGAGGCTGGTGCTATCAAAGTATATGCAATCCTCACTCATGGTATTTTCTCTGGACCAGCTATTTCTAGAATTAACAATGCTTGTTTAGAAGCTGTTGTTGTCACAAACACAATACCACAAGAAAGGCACATGCAGGAATGTCCTAAAATTCAGTGTATTGATGTTTCTATGATGTTAGCAGAAGCTGTAAGGCGCACACACAATGGAGAGTCAGTGTCGTATTTATTCTCCAACGTTCCATACTAGATGAATTAAAGCTTTTATAATTTTACATTACCGTGAGGTCTCCAACATTGGTTTAAATACCGCTTGTAGACAATACAAACATTATGATTTGGAGTTTGTCTGGTTTCTATGTAAACTAACAGTTAGATTAGATAACAGAAATTTGGTGATATTTTACAATAAAACTAATATTTTCATTTAAATGAAATATTTACAACAGGAAAGTTGGAAACCTACTAATTTAGTTTTAGCTTTAAACTTTTGTTTTCATAAATTTAAAGATAAATAGATATAATTTTTTTCTTCATCCTGAATAATCTCATTTGAATTAGGTTTTTCTTAAAATTGTTATATTTTAACATATTAGTTCTCAATCCATAATAAAAAATGAAGTTTCTATGTTGTCGGTCCAAAATTCATAATTGGACACCCAATATGAATAACAATGTAATTAGATGTGACATTGCTTCAGACAGCATTTTATTTATGTATTTATTTCCACATCCTATGTATAATATTATATATAACTATACATAGAGTAAATTATCATTTAATGAACTTTACAGTATAACCCAACAAAAATTTTTAAACTGATAACGTTATTTATGAAGTCAAATATTTGTATGTAATTATAAATAACTTGACATTATAAATAATGAATTTTTTTAATCTTTAATTGCTGAATTACTGAATAATATAATTACAATATTAAACATAGGCAGTGTCTGTTGTTAAATATACTACTGCTGGCATAGTAGTTCTGTATAATAGGGATGATGACTAATTTTTGTTTGTTTGTCCGTCAGGTAGTGTTAAAAATATTTAAACACGTATTTTTTTCGTAATCATAAAATTACGGCGTTACATTGAATTGAAATTTCGCATGAGGTCACGTTAGAGTACATTTTATACTCAACTGTGACGTAGCGAGCCCCCACTCCTCAACTTTAATACCTGTTATCTATACTATTTCTTGTTATATTGAAGTAAAAAAAATATGTATCTAATATTTTTCTATTATCTGACTGACGGACTAAATAGAATTGCATTTTTTTTACCCAGTTTTCATCCCTATTGTAATGATGGCCAATTTTACCACTCCTTCAAATTATTTATATGTCAATGAATCAAAATGTTTTTTTATAGTATATTTTCCTCTATAAGTATAGATACAATTTATTGTAGATAAATACCTATAATCGATACTAATATTATCATATGATAAATTTTGCATTCATATACAGATTTTTAAGAAAAATATTGTAATAATTTTAATTATGAGTTGAATATAAATAAGATTCAAAGACAAGATGTGTTACATAAATTTGTACTGAACGCGGTAATTTAAGTTGCAATGTTATTTATATTGGGTGTTGAATTGTTCATAATAGATATGAAATTATAATTTTACTTAAGCACTTAGTACTGCATTTATACAAATGGTTTAAATTATCTTTTTGAATAGGTACAATATAAACATTTCGTTTATAATTTTTTTTTATCATTAATTATAGTTGTATTATGTAAAAGACAACTAGTTGATTCTTTATATTTACATTATTTTGTTTACTTAGTTAAACATTACATTATAAAATGGACTGATCAAATAATAATAAATTTGTCTCAGAATTTATCTGAGATAAGTTTTTTATGATGACCAGTTTGCTTTGCTGTAGGTATTATGCTATAAAAATCTATGTGTCCTATAAAATGTTATCTGTTAAACCAATTGCTGTACAAAATAATATTAATGCATGCATCTGATGAAATTTATCATAATGCATTAAACTTTTGGTACATATAAATTGCCATAAATTTATATTTCATATTTGGCTATAAAAAGATTTATTGTAAATTGTTTTTCTATGTTTATAGAGCAATTATTGTGTATATTTGGTCCATATACCTACTATTAAGCAATAATAAAAAATATTAATATTTTTATATTCGATTTTTATTTATTCCTTTCCTTAAATTAGAATATAATTTGTTATATATGTCTAATAATTTGTAATATGTTTTTAATAGTTATATAGTAATAAATCAAAATTAGATTTTGATCATAAAGCTACGAGAACAGCCATGGACTATCACAGACATGGATCTAAGGAGGAGCGAGCTGAGACCAAACTCCGAGCGGGAAAATTTAGTGGGCAGTTTTTCGGACGGAATCTTTTTTCTCATATGAGAAAAATGACAAAAAAAGATTATACTCCGTTGCCTGCAGATAAGGTTATAATATTTGATAAATTTTGCGTTCACAATGACTGGAAACTATTGTTAGTGAAAAAATCTTATAATAGAAATAATCTTAGTGAACACACGGCTTCACGCAACCACAATATGTCTAGTTTTTACAGCTGATTTAAAACTACCCTAAAGGCATGTTTTAAAATCAAGTGGAGAAATTTTATTTGTACAGCCTAACGAGCTGTTGACTGTTGTTTGTTGATTTATTTTAGCTATAATAAATAATTTTAATAACAAGTTACGGGTTCGAATCCGGTGTTTCTATAAGGCAATATACATACATAGTTACTTAAATGTGATTTTAATTTTCATTACGAAAATTTAAAAAAAATTGCCCCTGTCATTTTTTTTTGCTGTCGAAATAGATCTAACTGCATTTTCTTGATTGTGGAGTTAATGATAGACACACAGAATTTTATTAGAAATAATCACCAACGATGTTTAGCTCGTCATCCTATTAAAATCATCGTTGTTTTCATTTAGAAGTGTTCGTTACATCATTATGTAAACTATATCAGTATGAAGTTTTGACCCTGGAGGTCGGTATCGCCAATGATGTAAATTGTTTGCTAGTGGGCGCGTCTCGTGTGCTACGGTCAATGGAACTTTCGACTTTATTGCAATGGCCTGTGCTCCGTCTTGCAGTGACGTTATTGTCAACCGTAAATAAAGTCCATTTTACCACACGACTGCTAATACTGTAGCTTGTTTATGTTACCTATGGGGGATACAGCAGCGACGAAAGTATAAGGGTACTATGAACGACCTCTGCTGTTCTGCCGAGTGACGACTCGTATGCTGCGCCGATTATAAAATATCGTGAGGTGAATGGACTTTTCTATATCATATGGGTGTCGGTTGTGGTAGGGTAGATATGCCTGTTTTCGTCCAACATTGAGCATAAAAATTTGAATTTTCCGCCAAGTTATTTGTTTGATTTTGCCATAAGCTTCGTTTAGTAGTATATGAGGGTAATTAGTGTGTATGCAGGCTGCCATGTGTTTAAGTTTTGGACTCTTGAGGATATTAACATTACTGTTTTTGGTCTTTTTACAAGGGAGGACCGTTAAATGGTCGGTGGTGGTTGAATGGTGGACGGGAAACGGGCGCATCGACCCTTACTATGCTTAATGGGCAATCCACTATCGACAATGGGTATGGGATGATTACCCATTGATCACCGAGTGCCACTATGATTGTAATCTTCATTATGCCGTTGTCCACGTTGTATGTACTGAATTATAAGGACGCCGAAACAAGAGTGCAAATTCTTCTCATGGACCGTCCTTTTGGTATAATTCTATAAACATAAATGGTTAATTATAGGTCTTTTTGGCAACAACTTTATAGAATCAATTAAAGGCAAAACAGGACGTATGTGCACCGTACTACTGCACTACTAGGCAAGAACTGAGCGATCGGTGATAATGTGGACGTGCATGATCATGGTCAAACTTCCTTTGAAAACCGAGATAGTAGCGATCATGCACGATCATGGGCATTTATAGGCGATCATGCCCTCTTCACAATGGTGATAGCTTGAGTTCACCATCATGAGCCACAGTACGTAGCTGGTGTAAGCTAACTATTAGAACAAATTCCTACAAGGTTGTAAACAAATCATGTGTCTCCCCCTAGCTTCGTTTGGCATCTTCTTCTTCAGCCTGTCTCTACTGTATAAGTGTAGGCCTCCTTCAGCATTTTGCATTCATCTCGGCATTGAGCTCTTTCCAAGCCTTCAACCCTTCTTCGTTTGGCATGCTACCTGTTAAAGCTCACCATGATTTATGATTTAGGTGGTGAAATGTCTTCCTTGTTTAGATATTTTTGATTGAATTATTATTTTGAGATCGTAATAAAATAAAATTCCACATATCGTTCAATCGACGAAAAATCTCATCGATTGTTTCTGCAGTCCCATGCCCAGTCTTTAAGCATTAAGTGTGATGCCTGTAGAAAAGTAGCTACATATTACTAATATGTGGCCAGTAGAGCATGGCACGTGTATAGTTTGGCAAGCGAAACGTGACACCACCTATTTTTCCGTTTTCATATGGCAACAACATAGAACTGTCAGTTTGACACTACGTTAGACAATTCAAGAATATTGAATTTTGTTGTTTTTGCGAATTTGAACTTGTGTTTTTGGTTAAAAATTATGTCGAAGCCGATAAAAAGTTCATCGAGGAAACTTCTTTCCATCATGATTGACAAGTTTACTGAAGTGAAAACTGAATTAAATAAAAATTTCATGGAGAAATTACAACGATTAGATAAAGTTGTATCTTTTTTAGGTTAGTTTTGTATTATAATTTTGATACTTTCGTTTTAATTTTCTGTAATTAACTAAACAGATATTTTTTATAAAATATTGCTCTATTTCAGATAACTGTGATGGTGATATTCAACCAATAATGGAGGAGATAAATGCAATAAAAACTTTAGAAAAACAAGAAATGCTGAATTCGGAAACGCAGTACTTACAAAAAATTTCTTCAATGACAGGTCTCTTTTCTTGTTTTGATTTAAGATAGATTGATAGTATTCCTATAATATTTACATAGGTTTTTTATGATGTATTGGTTTTTATTGTTGACATCCAATGATGTCATAAGAATGTTTTGTTTAACAAGGAAATTCACAGAATTCATGAAACTAATCAAACCATGTAATTGTTATACATGCTAAATATGCACATAAACTTAACTAAATTAAACATAAATTGCATTCATAGTTGAATAGGTATTTAAATTATTTTGATGTATGTGTCTATCATTATTTGCTTTTAAATACATTTAACATATCTTTGTTTCAAAGTGTTTAATCTTTTATAGATGTAAGTATAAGGACACTAAGAAGGATAAAAAATGAAGCATTAATTAATAAAGGAAAATGGGACACTCCTGGGAAAAAACGACCTCATCAACCAACAGTGTCTGCTTTAGATAATTTTGATTTAAGTGCAATTCGGAATAAAGTAAATGAATTTTACTGTGTGAAAAAAATTGTTCCAACATTAAGAAGCCTTCACAATGAATTAAAAGATGCAATAGGATTCAGTGGTAGCCGTGAGACTTTACGAAAAATTATGCTTAAGAATGGATTTTCTTTTAAAAGCAATGAAAATGAATGTTCTATGCTTATAGAAAAATACCAGATTTCTGCATGGAGGCACAAGTATTTGAGAGAAATAAATATAAAACGAAACGAAGGAAAGCAAATTGTGTACCTTGATGAAACTTATGTACATCAGAATTATAAAGTTAAAAAGTCTTGGCAAGGACCTTCAACAACTGGTGTCACTACAAAGATATCCTCTGGAAAACGGCATATTGTTGTGCATGCTGGATCTGAGGAAGGTTTTGTGCCTGGTGCATTATTAGTGTTCAGTAGTAAATCCAAATCTGCTGATTATCATGATGATATGAACTCATCGAACTTTATGAAATGGGTCAGAGAAAAATTAATACCAAATTTAAGTAAGCCCAGTGTAATTGTTATGGATAATGCCAGCTACCATATAAAACAAATCAATAAACCGCCTATAATGTCTAATACCAAAGCAGATATCCGTAAATGGCTTGTAAATAATGGAATACATTTTGAGGAATATCAGACAAAGGCAGAGTTAATGTGTTTGGTTAATGATAAGAAAACATTGCCTGTATATGAAGCTGAAGAGATTTTAAAAGAACATAATCATGAACTTTTATTGCTGCCACCGTATCATTGTGACTTAAACCCAATAGAGATGGTTTGGAGTCAAGCAAAAAGAAAAATTGCAAGCAGAAACATTGGAATACCAGGAAAGGAAATGGAAAACTTAATAATAGAGTGTTTTAACTTAATTACCCCTAGTGACTGGAAGAAATACACTGATCATGTTTTAAATGTCGAAAATGATTACAAATTAAAAGATGGCATTGTTGAAAACGAACTTGAAAAATTTATTATATCTGTTGGTGCAGACAGTAGTGAAGAGAGTGACTCTGATGATTCCTTGTCATTGTTATCAGGTGTAGAATATTTAGAAACAGATTTTGACTATGAATCAGACTAAAGTATTTTTAGTCTGATTCATAGTCAAAATCTTATCTTAAATTTTCTATTGTGATTAACATGATGATTTTGTGACACCTGTATTATGTAATTTATCCATGGCACTTAATTGTAACAAAAATAAATGTTTTTTTTATTGTAATCTGGTGTTTATATTGACTAATTTAATTTGATAGATAGTGGTTCTGGATCAGAGCAAAAGGTTGTGATGAAAATCCCTTAGGAGACATGTATGTGTTATGAACACATTATAAATATAAGGGCCAGAAATCAAAATTGGCTAACATCACATTTATTAAAAAAATGTGGCCAGAGTCGCCCATATTCATTACAAAAAAACAAAGAAGTCGTTGCAAAAAACACCCTTTTAATTAATGACAAATATGAATTTTTAATATTATAAGTGCTGTTAGCCAATAGGTATAACGAATGGGTTAAAAAAAAGATTCGATTTAGTCCGTCAGTCAGATAATAGAAAAATATTGGATACGTATTTTTTTTCGCTTTAATTTAACAACAAATGGCTTAAGAGGTACTATGCGACGACTTCAAATATGCTTTGCAACAATGTTACTTTAATACAGTTTATCGATACGAAATCAAGTGTCAAAATGGAGTCCAGTGGAGAATGCCGATATTGACATTTCGAAATTGCTCATCATTGATAGAGAATACGAAATAGTGATTTTGACACAATCAAAGTGTCTATTTTTTACGGTGATGACGATTCTTGGTTGTCAGTTGAGTTAGTGAATAGGCCTACTGATATGCTGTTAACTGTACAATTAAGAACAGTCACGCTTTAGTCAAATGTTCCAAAACAAATAATTTTAATTGATATCTAAATGTTAAGATTAAATATAATTAATAAAAGTATCAAAATTATTTTGCAGTACTACATTCAGTGTTTACTGCTTAAGAATTTTTGAAATTGCCGCCCTTTTCTTGTGACACGTTTCGCTTGCCAGACTCTACACATACACACATCAGGTATCTGATTTTGAACTCTGTATGTAAACCGTGAATGTTTATTTTGCATTAGCATAACCTAACGTGTTGTTGACGACGTATTATAAAATCATAAAACATTTTTTATGGAAATACAAACAAATTACATTTACCTACCTACCTGCTGTACATAATCATTGTCAAAATGTTTAGTTTAAAGATAGGATTTTTGTTGATAAGTCATCATCATAATATAAGCAGCACTTAATCAATGACCTACCTACCCGTATCAGGTGCGTCTCGGATTTCATTCCCACTAGGGATAATGTTACATTATTAGTGTCCTCGTATTCGATAAGACTAGATTACAACCAGTTGGCAACAATTACAACACCATAATCTCAAATCAGTCAATACAGTTTAAAATAAGTATAGGTATTTGTAGCACTGATATTTACACGTGTATTTTTATATTCATTATTAATTTTACACGATTGGGTTGATGACTAAAATAATTTTTGTTTGTCATTTGAAATCATTGAAGAATATTAAACACGTATTTTAAGTTTTTCGTGTAATCAATAAATTACGGCGACAATTCGAGTTGAAATGTCGCATGACGTCACACCTTTGTACTTTTTCTACTTAATTGTGATTTAACAAACCCTCCCCACCGTTCATTAATTTGAATGCCTATTATATAAGCATTTTTTTTTTGTAAATTTGAAGAAAAAGATACGTCTATTATTTTTTTATTATTCCACTGAAATATAATTTGTTTTAAGAGTTCGATGGTGCAGTGGTAAACGTGTTCTGTTTGCGATGCGTAGTTTATGAAACTTCCATAAGATGGATGACCAAATATGTAACATCTCTAGGTCCTATATGTTTCGGAAGCCACGTTATACCATTGGTCTGTACTGCATGATCTGTTGTCGCTAACACCCATTAATCCGCACTGGGTCCGCGTAGTGAGTTACGACTATAGATATAGACGTTCTATCCATACGGAATATCCGTGTCTGAGCAGTGGAAACACTAGTATATGTGACGTTACACAATTTTTATGGTACATTCAGCCGATAACTGATCCGGTTATCCAAAACTGTCAAATTCTTCAATTGATTATAAATTATTGCAATGACGTAAACAATATTGTATTGTAATTCTATACTAGTACGAAAGTTCAAAATTAATTGCAATATTTTTGAAATTTCCCAGCAAAAATAGCATTACATCCCAGCCCATTACCTACCGCAAAAACATGGGAAATAATTATTATTCCCAGCACATCAGGTTATTACAATAGGGGCAATTTTTTGCAAACCATTTTGAATTTAAGTTTTTCTTCATATGATTTCAAGCGTTAACGCATTCATATGATTTCACGCTAAGTAGAGTTCTAAATCAGTTAAGGAAATTTTACATATTGCGGTAACCTGTGCAGCCGTGAGTTTTAGGAGAAATTTCCCCTAGGGGAAATATGTCAGGGACAACTTATGACAGACTATTCATTAAAAACAACAATATTGTAAATGAAACGAGTAGCAGTGTTATTCACTAGTTTATTGTTTACTTAGTGTGGGTGGTGGCGTGGTGTGCCTGTGCAGCAGCCTTCCTCATCTGAGCGAGTACGTTGCTCAGTTCTTCTCGCTTCCTCTTGGCGCGAATGTGTGTGCCCAAGCGACGCTTTAAGAATTTCAGTGCGCGTTTGTCCTTTGACACCTGTTTAAAAAAATATTTAAATCAATATCATCATCATCTGTCCCTTCACGTCCCCACTGTAGGGGCTCAGGCTCCCTTATGGATGGTTAAGGAGGAAGGGCTATAACCTCCATGCAGGCCCAATACGGATTGGAAGTCAATAACAACTGCAACTCCAGTCAGGGCCAACAGCTTAACGTGCCTTCCGAAGTACAGAGTACCTTGACATAATATTGGTCACCCATCCCGTGACCGACTCTTGAGAAAATCGCTTAGCAACCATGATCGCGGGCCGAGGTGCTTAGCCACTACGCCATCGAGCTACTTAATCAATATCACGAAAATTACTCTGTAGATCTGCTTAATACATTTCGATGAATGGATATGCTGTGATTAGTATGAGTAACAATAGTGGGCATATTTTCTTTATTTTTTTATTAGTGTTAAGTCGACAGCACATTAGGTTACTACAAATGTCATTTTCTCCAGTAATTTTTTTTAGTTGTTATTGTTAAGTTCAAAACTGCTTGCACAAATTTCCATTACACAGGTTTGGATCATGTAGATACATGATATGTAATAATAGTACACACAGTACCATTTTTTTCAAGCAAAATATAATTAACTATCTAATTCTTCTAAACCAGGGATTCAAATCCTTGGTTCAACATTAATACAAAATACATGCTATTTTAAAAACTATTGCTTAAGTGACATCATTTTCTGATCAAAATTTAATAAAAAAATATGTTGAAAGATTCAAATGAGAATGTGTGTTAATAAATAGTTTGATTTATAGTCCCCATTCACCCCCAAAATGTGTTTCATGTTGGCAAATTAATTTTGTTCAGAAAGAGAATATCTTCTCTAAACCATATAAGCATCCGTCCAAAGTAAATAAATATGTCCAATGTAAATAAATATATTATTATTAAAGAATCGGCTCAAAATAAAAACTAAATTGTGATTAAGTGCGACAGATCTTTTAATAACTCAAATTATTATTCATATAATTAAATAATATTATTTGCACACTTGCAATGTATGTCAATATTCCAAAGCAGTGTTTATTAATAGTAATAAAGACTGCTGTGGAATAGGGATGACCACTGGGTAAAAAAAATGCAATTCTATTTAGTCCGTCAGTCAGATAATAGAAAAATATTAGATATGTATTTTTTTTACTTTAGTTTAACAGTAATAGCTTAAATAACAGGCATCAAAGTTGAGGAGTGGGTCTATGTCACAGTTTAGTAGAAAACGTACCATATCAACTCCATGTAATGCCGTAATTTTATAATTAATAAAAAAATATGTATTTAATATTTTTTAACACTACCTGATGGACAGACAAACAAAAATTAGTTGTAATCCCTATTCTTCAGTGTGCTCTGTAGAACACTAGAGCTGCATGAAAATATTGTTATATTTTGGTAAAGTTAATGTAAAATGTACATTAATTAACAGTATGCATAAAAATAGTTTACATATTACTATTTTAAATATCTGTGCAAATACTCATTTTCCAAAATGGTTACATTGCCAAAAACATTTGAGAACATCTGGTATAGAAATTCTACTGAGTTATAATAATTTTTATTCCTATTTAATATGAAATGGACAAGCAAAAGCAACTATAATTTACAAAATTTCAGTTTTCAAAAAGTTTAATTCTCAATTAAATTTCCTGTTAATTAAAAGGTGTTTGTGGCAACAGATAATATTTTGTCTAATTATACTTTGTCCTTTTAAACAATTTACCAGATTTCAGTTGCTAATGGGAATTACAGTAGAGCGTCGATTATCCAAACGTCGATCAACTGAACAACCGCTTATCCGAACTCCCGACTCTCACGCCCCCGCGTGCGTGCGCGCACTTGTTTCGATTTCAACAATATTCAATTTCTATGACTAATATTAAATCTAATGACTAATAAAACTGACACCACTTCATCTACTGCAAGTTCAGATAATGAAGATGAAAACATAATTGGTGCTTCAGAAGCTTTTACTTTCTTAGATATTGCCTTGCATTGGTTTGAAACATGAGCCGAGAACGACCACTATCAAATATATGTCCTTAAAAAATAGGTAAGCTTAACCTTAAAAAATAGACGAAAATTGTAATTTTTTAAGCGTTAGTAAATTACACTTAATACTATTAGATCTTCGCCAATATTGTACTTAGAATGTTTTGTTGCAAATACTTCAGTTTATTTGTTTTTTCAATAAAGATATAATTATGAAGGTACATATGTAAATATGGCTTTTATTCACCCGTGGATAAATAAATATATCAAGACAGTTTGATTATCCGAAAAATCCGGTTTTCCGAACACCCCTGTCCCCCAATTAGTTCGGATAATCGATGCTCTACTGTATTTAAATAAGAATAATAGTAGAGTTTATAAAAATGTAGTAATCACAATACCTTAAGCAATTCCATAGCTCTCTTCTCATATTGAGCATGACCAACAACCTCACGGACTAAATCACGAACAAACTTTGAATGTTTTGTTTGTAGCTGAAAAATTTAAAAAAAAATGCACATATTCAAGCTATCATCATGATAGAAGGTGTTATTAGACAAGGTTCCAACACATTCGCAATTTGTAAAACTTTTAAGGTCTTAATCAATAGAAACAGCAGAGGTAATTGAAAACAAATAAAATATAATAGTTCACATAGATTTCTCTTAAATCCAGTGATTTGTTCAGTTTGTTTATTGTTTAAATTGTGCAATGAAGGCTCAAAATAATTTTGAATTTAAATTAGTCACAGGGTAAAGTTTAGAGAATCTGTGCTACGTTTAAAAACGAGAAAAGAAAACAAAAGAAAAGAAGACACTATCAGTACAGGAATATGGATATGTCAATGATAAACGTGTGGATATAAACAATAAAACATAACCTAGTAAAGCACTTTATATACTTACACCCTTCAATCTAGCAGGTCTAATTCTAATGGTTTTGTCAGTGATGCCTTTTCTGCCGGCTGATATTTTTGTAGTTTTGTGGCCTTTTCGTAGACCGACTGCGATCTCAAACCGGGGAGCCATGCTGAAATAATATGCAAAATTATGGCTAGGCTCAAAATATAACAACAGTGTCTTCAAAAGGAATAAACGGTCACTGAAATTAAATTGAAATATATAAAAATACGATTGATCACAAAGATAAAAATCAATTTTTATTCCAAAAAATATTTTACGTACATTTCGGATTGACAGATCCGTCAAAGAGAATGACTTCTTATTTTTTAATAAAGGATCTTACTTAGGGATGCACCGATTTATTATTAAACCGATACACCTATAAAGACATATGAATCACCAAAAACATCGATATATGTCGATATCCAAAATACTAATAAATCGAAACTTAATACAGAATGAAATTCAAAAAGTAAATGTATATCAATGATCCAATCATTCAACGCCTGATCTTCACACGCGACATCGTTTTGTAGCCCTGGTTTTTGCTTTGAAATTTGTGCCCGATATTTTTTTATTTCATTTCGTAATAATAGGTCTTCCCTAAACTAATGCTAATCTATCGATAAGACATTTTCCTACTGTAACTACGAGGCATAAACCTTCAGACAGCCTTTTCTCAAAAGCAGGAAAGGCCATCACACGAAGATCTAATTTGAAGCTCTATCGTAATCCCTTTATTCTATTATAATTAAGATAGCGATATGAAATTACGTCGCTTTCGTAATAAATGATAACTTGAATGTTGATGAAATAATTAAAAAGGAAATCTTTTTTTGAGAGCAACATAGAGAGTTTATATTGTCAATCCTGTTTATCGCTTAATTTATAGATATATATAATTATATATTTATCAAATTCGATTTTAATATCAAACATCGATTTGGTAAGTTCGATTAAACCAGACATCCCTAATTATTATTTTTTATTTTATTTTGAAAGACATCTTTTCTTTCGTTCTATTCATAGAGGAGTAATATAACACTACATAATTTGTGTTATGAGTAGGGTTCGAAGAATCGGCTTCCGGTATCGATACCGAGTACTAATGTGGTATCGAGGGACATGATATCGATACCATAAAAGTATCGCACCCAAAGGATCGATACTACTCAGTATCGAATATTTACCGACAACATTTAAACAATGCCAAAATTTTAGATTTTTCTTAGTTCATGCATTTAAAATTGCATACATTCTCTTTGGACGCAACGAGGAGACGATTGAGGAACAAATTAAACAGTTTACAATAGCTAGAGTTATTTTTGACTGCCGTGTTTGGTGGGTAAAATTACCGTATTTTGAAAGACATGAACAACAAAATATTTTTTTTTTATTTTTCGTTTTATTTAATAATTTTGATGCCGGAGAGGGAGCCTGAAAATCAGCTACCAAGCCCCAGCCAATTTATTTTGATTATTTAATTATTAAAAAATAAATTAAATTAGAAACTAAAAACATATGCTAGCTTAATTTAAAACTTCCCCTGAATTCTCAGTCAGATATTAGGGCTTTTCTCTGAATAGTTTTAATGAGAACTCAGTTCATAATCAAAATTATTGAATATAAAAAAAATAAAACATGATTTATTTCCTATTTTTATTTTCTGGTTTAGCATTAGAAATTTGCTTCATTGCCGTAGATTTTGCCAACACAATATAACTGATGCTATAGTTTTCTTTTAAATTATAGCAAATTTTGTAAGACATTGCAATTGCCACATCAGTAGCACAACTAGAATGAAACACTATCTAAAATATTTAAACTTTATAAGTAAAAATGGTAATTTACGGATTTTTATTTTCATTCAAATGTTAATGTATTTCTAGGATTTTTCTAAAAATAATATTTTATATGATGTATATGATTGAAGAAATTCAGAAGTATAATGTATTGAGGCCAGGGTAATAAAAAAAAAAGAAAATTGAAAAATCACAGACTAATACTTCCAAAGATTTATTAAATTTTGGCATAGAAGCTGAATGACAACTGTAAATAAGCCGTATGAAGCAATACTCGCTACCGCTTTTATGAATCATTTTGATTTATTATCGGCTGTGGTATGGAGTTCTCAGTATCGAGTATCGCTTTTGAAAGTATCGATACCTACCCGGTATCGAAAGTATTGTTCGAACCCTAGTTGTGAGTAACAGTGTTGCCAGATCTAACAACTTTTAAGTAGATCTACCTACTTTGCCCTCAGTCTTCCTGTCTACCAACCTAAGCCTCGAATCTACCTATTTTTCTAAATTTTAACACTTCTTTTTTCAGGTCTATTCCCAGAGACAGACAACCTGACTGAATTGGACAGAGATTGGAGATTATTGACAAACATGGCACTCCCCTTTACAGGAAAAAATGCGGATCCTACACCTGAAGAGTTCTGGAAGCATGTTTCATTAATCAAAAAAGGAGACCAGTCTCCAATGTTCCCTCTGCTATGTCAATTCATAAGAAAATTACTGGCACTTCCTCATAGTAGTGCCAATGTAGAGAGACTGTTTTCTTCTATTAATAATATGAAAACCTGCCAAAGAAATAGACTTTGCACAGACACTCTAGAGGGTTTGTTACATACTAAAAGATTTATAACAAAGAACAATGGGCAGCTTAGTCCGATAATTTAAAACTTTTAAATAAAAAGATGTATAAACATAAACAATAAATAATTTCAAAACTGTTTTTATGTATTTTTAATTTAAATAATTTTCAAAGAAATCTTAAAAAAATGACGATCAAAAAATACTTGTATTATTGAGAAAAAAACACCGGGCGCTCGGCTCGATATACGAAAAATATGGCACCAATGCTTGTTTTCTTGCTTTTTTTAAACTAGGTTTAGTTTTTACTTTTTAGTTTCGTATGCTTTAAAAGCGTCTTTTATTAAACTATATTTATTTTATTTAAATTACATAAATTTTAATAATGGTAATAATAATTTTATTATAACCATTGTTATTCTTGGCATAAATATTGTATTAAGTTGTAATAAATATGTAACGAATTAATTTACAATACACGACTTGAGGAAAATTTTGAATTACCGCTTATTTTGTCATCAGTGACATCTCATGAGCGACGACGGAGAGTTTACTTACACGACCATGGTTATAAAGGGTAACTGCAAATCAGGGTTCGATTCCCGAGAGGGAACCTGAAAATCAGCTACCAAGCCCCAGGAAGGCAGCATGCGCGCGCAAACGAGAGTTACGAACATACATACATACATGTGAAACTAATATAAGCGTGTTATAAACCTACTAAATTAAGGTGGTAGATCTACCGATTTTTAATCTTGGATTCTACCAATTTCTACGAATTTTTGGCAAATATTCTACTAATTTTCTAAAATAAGGGTTGGCAGCATTGGTGAGTAATATAGCCACCGAACAATAATACATACTCTACAATATAGCATAGACACAAAGTACAGCATAGAGGAGTAACATAGGCATAGTAACATAGGAGTAACATACGTAGTATCTTCTTCTTGGTCTGTGAACATAGGGGTCTATTATTTGATGGATATTATAATTCGATTGTATATTGACAGAATATTGGTTTTTATTTATTGTCTTGCGTAAAAGGAACCCGATTTAAAAATACTGTGTTATTTTATTTGGTGATTGAAGTTTATAACTGTATATTCAATTTCAGCACGTTTTCTGTTCAATGATATAACCTATAAAAACAATACTTTTGGTCATAAATCTTTAACCATGGAAGTTGGTGCAGTAAAACAAGCATTCAATAATGAGGTAAGGAGTTATGGGCTAAGAAATAATCTAACCGAGACCAAAGCATTATTGTGATTGTTAAAATTCAATGTCTATTATAGTTTAGCATACTTGTACATGAAGCTAGATGGTTGTGTGGACACTAATAATTTTTTTATAATTCATTATGAACTCCAGTAGTCATATATATAAGTATATTTTATCTTTATTACAGCTCATTTTGTTGAAGAAAAAACTGAATCAAGCTAAAATACAAATAATACATAAGCTTACTAGAAAAGCCAAGACACTTGCTGAGAGAAAAGCTCCAGAAGTGATAAAGGAAAAGTTGAAAAGAAAAGCAGACGCAGCAGTGAATGAAGTTCTCATAATAAAGGTAGGTAGGTAACAAGGAAAATCTTCCTAGTTTTAATCATTAATTGAAAACACTCCTATTAATTTGAATAATATCAGTTTCCTTGTTAACACCAAGGTTGATTTGTGTTAAAGATGATTCTTCTCATGTTCACTTTGACTTAATATTTTGAAGTTCATGAAACCACTTTCACTTATCAGCCTTCAGAGCGATTCTGTGAAAACCTGATCCCTAAATTGTATTGATTGTATTTTTTTTTTGTATAAAAATACAATACAAAACTGATTGATTATATGTGTCTCCCATATTCTATTCCTTTATCATTTCAAAATTCACTTCACTTATGATACACAACGTTACTACCAATTCAAGATTGAGCAGATGCCATTTTTTGAAGTGAATCCACCTGACACCTGAGTGAATTGTAATTCTCATTTGGAGTTTTACAGAATCGCAAGATTGACCTTTCTTTGTATTGGAAGTGATATCTCAACAATGCTGAGTATCTTGAAAGAAAACATTCATAGAAACATTCAGTTAGAAAGACTATATCTGTGATGGGATTTAATTATAAACTTGTTACATACATTACATTTTGCAATATCTCTACATTATAAATTAAAATTATTACTATTTTTTTGTCTTGGTAAAATTTGAGAATGGCTGAAATATATTATTGTTATAGTTCAGGGAAGATTTAAGCAATGAGAAGTGATACAAAGTACACCAGGTCATCTAGTTAAAATATAAAAATTACTTTGTTGTAAGCAAGTGTTGTAATATCTACAAGTATTTGTTATCTATAGATTAGCTTGATGTTTTCTTGCATATTTTAAATGGGTACAATCAGATTTTGCCAGCAATGTGGCCATAGAAATTGTATTAACTTTTCTTTATTATTTAGAAGTTTAAAGCAAATACTACTGATCTATTAAATATGTAGTAGTACTACAGTCTGGGTCTATTCCCGTGGATTGTTTCCATAAAGTAGGTACTGCAAGTACAGGATGCTATAGATTGTTGACCCCACCATGAATGACAATCATGATACAAGTCATTTTTTTTTAAATTTAATACAAGAAATAACTTCAGTGTCAGGTTTAAACTGTTATCCAAACAAAATAAGTTAACATTTTCTCTTTAGTTAATGTTAATTTGCTTTAGAAGGCCAATGGTTTAAAGCAAATACTAACTTTCTTCCTTGTTTTATAATAATAAGAAGGATATTGTTTACTTTGAACTTACATTATACTTTAGATCAAATCAATTCTTTGTCCTGCCAAAGACTAGGTCAAACAAACATCTATTAATGTTTAATGAAAGCTTTAAGCTCTAATGAATGTTGTGAATTTGTGTGGGTAATGTTAAACTATTGACAATTTTATTGGATATTTGTGCAACTGGCTGTATCAATGTTCTATTAAAATGTTAGACCTAGACCTTAAAATTTAAATTGAAAGGATAATAATGAAGTTGTATATAAATTGCTTTACAGAAAATCAAACCTAAGGACTTGGCCAGGTTTGCTGTTACCCACAAAGGTCAGCTCAATGACCATTTGAACAAACCCAATGTAGATCAAGATAAAGCTTGTGCCAGACTATTACTTCACAAAGCACTGCAAGACAAATATAAACTAATGAGAAATCTATATTCAAATATAGCTATTGATGACTTATTGATGTCAAGAGAAGAAAGGAGAAAACTCAAGAAAGAAGAAAAGGAGAAGCAAAAGAATAAAAAGAAAGGAACAGGAAATAAACCAGATGATGTTGTTAATACTGTAGGTGTTTGGGAAGTTGATTCTATGAAAGATCAGAATGACGGTGAACAATCAGATATGGAGGAAGACAAATCTGAAGTTGAAGAAGAAGCAACAGAAAGTGATAAAGACAACTCTGTCCAAGAAAATGATGATAATAGCTTTAGTGAATCTGAAGTAGATTCATACAGAAATGAAGATGATGAAAACGCTGACATAGCTTCTGCTGTATCTGAAAATGAGTCAGATTATGAAAAAGATGATGAAGTAATAAGGGAAATAAACACATCAAAAGTAAAAGAATTTAATCTAAATTCTAGTGAAAATAGTAAAGTACAGATCAAAAGTCATGAAAATGATAAAAATGCAGCCTTAATAGCTTCCAATGTATCGGAAAATGAGTCTGAATATAAAAAAGTCAATGAAGCAAAAAGGCCAACATTAATATCAGATTCAAAGAAAATTAAACTAAGTTCTAGTGATAACAGCAAAATACATGATATTGTTTCTGTAACGAATTTAAATATTAGTCCTAATAATGTAAAGAAACCTAAAAATAATCTAGGTATAAAATGTAAAGAGAAGAGTAAACCCAATAAAAATAGAAATCTGAATGAGAAATTGCTTTCACGAAAATTCAAAAAAGATTCATTTGATGCTCCCATAGAAGAGACAAAGGTTGTTGATCCATTCTTCGTCACATCTACTGGAGAAAACTATTTATCTGTTGTTGAACCAAGAGCTCCAGATGAAGTGAAGGAGATTCATAGACAAGGCAACAGAAAACTTAGGAGAGCTGCAATGTTTGGTCGTGTGCCAAAAATGAAACCAAGACGAAATAATTTTGAGGTAGACGAAAATAGGTTTAATAGGTTTAATAAACATAGTAGCTCATATAACAATGATACAAATAAATATGCTAATAGAGGAGATTTTAGTAATGACAAAAGAGATCTAACTAGTAAGAGAAGTAAATTAAGTACCAATGAACCAGTGGAGTCCAAACCTGAAAGATTGCATCCTTCATGGGAAGCCAAAAAGCGACAATCGAAAATACAACCATTCCAAGGTAAAAAAATAGTTTTTGATGAAAGCTGAAATATAATTAGGTTGAAATATAATAGTATTTATTGAATATAATATTTTTTATTGAAAACTGTTTTTTTTATGATATATCCATGACAATCTTAATGCCAGTATTTAAAAATTGCTTAAATAAGTTGTAATAAAACATATTTTTTGGTGAGAACAATAATTCTGAATATTTCTGTGACTTCGCCTGCGTGAATTATAGCTTATGTAACCCACGTACGATGTAGCTCCCCACAGGTGAAAGAATTTTAATGATCGGATCGTATGTGTTAGGCTGACAGTGGCATTTTCTTCGATTTTGAAATGAATTCTTGATTCATCTAGTTCTTAATTTGTCAGTTCGTTACGAAATAGACGCAAATAACCATGTTACGTAGTTTCGGGGATGAACAAAATCCTTTGTGGAGCTGCTGGGATGACTTCAGTACGGCAGTGCCATTGCTAGAACTCTACTTACAACTAATTCGAGAAGCAACTTAAATCCGTTTCGGCTAGCGTGAGGGTAATGGGTCATCCAACTTAATCATCCATAAGGAAGGCCTGAGCACATGCTGTTTGCCAGTCTGGGCTGGGGCGATAAATGGATAATAGTGGCTTATACTTTTAGAGTACTTGTATCGCCATGCTATTATATCTTCTAAGCTATAGCACTTTAAACGCTTTTAAACGTCAAGTTATTTTAGCATGACTTCATAAAATAGTGAAATTTTTGACATCCTGCTAGTATTCAGCAGTCTAGGGTACTACGAATTGAAATGAACTTCACAAATAATCTCGACAACCAAAAATTATTTTACCGCTCCGACCATTCCAATTGAATGTTATAGTTTCATATTGTTGTGGCAAAATTCTGTTATAAAATTTGGACCAAAGTCTCATGTGTAACGCCTGCAGAACTGTGGCTCTTGACTTTACGATCAGGAAACATTTCGATTGTATTTGATTGAAGCACTGCAGATAAATATACAAACATACATGTATGCAATTATATTACACGTATGTATGTATTTATATTTTTCCCATACCGATTAAAAATCCCAATCATCTTTTACCAGAGTAAAGGTATACCTATTTCCTTGTTTAGTCGACGTAGTAAAATATGTAGGTGTGGGAATGGAACGGTAAATCGAAATAGCCAAACATAAAAGCTGGTGGCATGTATACTGGTGCCACGTGCCATGCAGTTGCTGTGGCATTCGCAATACAGAAGCGATAAATCTAGTCACCGCGTTGAATGCCACATTTGCATCGGTGGCGGAGCTTACGGCATGGCATTATTGGGTTAACACCTTTACTTTCCCGAGATTTTAAGATTACGCTAATATACACACCTTGATCTATTTGTTTGTGGTTTAATAGACAAGAAATTAAATATTTCGTGAAAAATCTATTGTGTATAATGATAATGACTATTTGATAAAAAAAAATATTAAAATTAACAATTGCGGGGTAAAAGGGTGAAAGTTCACGTCAGCTAAGAAGGGCAGACTGCTGCTATTAAAAAAAAAAATTAAATGAATTCGCTTTATAGTAGATACCGGACTTAAGCACAAGTTGTCCAAGGTATATACCTATTAAGCACAAGCTGTCCAAGGTATATACCTTGGACAAGAAGGCAAGGAGGAGCTAGAGATAATAAATTTTTGGCCACCTCTACTATGTATGACCGGCCTTTACGAAAGTTGCTTTACTTTCGCATCGACCGCGCTAACCGTTGCGCCATCGATGCTATGCTGTTATTTATTGTAGAAAAATATTAGATAGCGTATAGCTCGATGGCGTAGTAGGCAAGCGCCTAAGAAAAATATTAGATAGCGTATAGCTCGATGGCGTAGTAGGCGAGCGCCGCGGCCCGTGGGGTCTGTTGTTAAATTACTCACTTGAGCTAGTCCGTGTTTCGGAAGGCAGGTTAAGACGTTGGTGTCGGCTGCATTGGCAATAGTTAATATCCTCCAATCCGCTTGGTTTAGCTAGCTTGTTATTTAGCAGAACGCTTCCAGTTGTTTCGATATACAAACAAAACTGTTAATCTGATTACGATCCATTCCTACAACCATCACCACCACCATAACTTTTAAACAAAATCAGGCTCATAACTTTTTAACAAAAAATGGATTTTAAAAATCTGTCCACCATCTCTTTCTTTGGAATTTTGAAGTTTTGAAAGGCATGTTAAGCCGTTGGGACCGGTTGTATTTGCAGTCGTTAATACGCTCCAATCCACATTGGGTCAGCGTGCAGTGCATTGGGTCATGGAACAAACTCTTTAACCATCCATAAGGAAGGCCTGAGCCTCTGCAGTGGGGACGTTAAAGGGCTGATAATTATGATTAGATAGTGTAAGTGACAGGACACGAACAAGGTTTTTATTTCATGCCTTAAAGGTATATGGGGCATGGAAATCGATGAAAGATTTCTATACGATCGATATAGGGTAGACCGGAGGCAATAGTAACATTTTTTATTCACGACCTAATCACGGACAAATGGTAAGTTACCTCAAAAATATTTTCATACACATCGATAGAACATGCATCGGGCTACAAGTTTATCTTACACTTGTCTACATATATTTTAATATTTTTGAGTTACTCAAGGTTAAACTAGAAAGGGGAAAGTGTTACAAATGCCCCCTACCCCGGGGCAATTGTAACATGATTTTAATATAATAAAAGTCAATAATTTAATTTATAATTAGAAATTATTTTCTTATCACAAGATTCCGTACATCAGTCTTGTATGTCTCATGAAAATGTTTTATAAAATTAATGACAATCAAAGATACAGTAACATGAAAGAGCAACCTCTGCTAAAATTTTAAATAATACTTATTTCAAGACAGTTCTTTGGCGGTCATAAATTTAACTAATAACTATATACTTATGCTAAAAACTATGACATTAAATGCAAGATTAAGTTATTAAAATCACGTTTACATTTTGTATGAAACAGTATCTGTTACAATTGACCCCGCGTAACTATTGCCCCCGAGATAAATTTTGCAATGTACTAACAAATATTTAAGTCTATTTCTGCCCTTCTTTACTTTGAGGACATAAGAATAGACGATCAGCAGCAAATTTTATTACAGTCAGAATTTCTGCGTTTAATTAGTTTACTTTAAGTCGCGATATCACACGAGGTGCGCTAATTATCTAAACAGGAATTTGATCATATTAACACAGCCTAACTTGTATAAAATTATTATCTATAGGGTCAAAAACGACTTAAGTTTTGGAAGTTCGTGGCCAATGTAATTTTGTGTAGGTATCTAGTCAGAATCATCAGATTCGCAGTTATGACAGGTGTAACTGATGCCTTCCTGTGGAGTACAGGCTTCGTGAGCCCAAAGCTGACATTTGTTGCATTTAATCCAGCACTCGTTACTTCTGCTATGAGAATAAGGCTCCACACAGACTAGGCAAAACCATTCTTCATTTTCATCTTCTCCGCTTTCGTTGTCTTTTTGCTTTCGCTTTTTCGTTAGTGTCGTTTTTCTGATTTTCAATGATTTTTTTACATCTTTCGCTCTCTTCTTGCGCTCTTTTTCTTCGTGCTCTATTCGAACAGCCTCTTTCTCTGGAGTGTCAGTATATATAGCACTTTTTCCTTTTTTCCTACCACTGCTTTTGTTTTTACGTGGTGGTGCTTTGGGAAGTGGTCTTACTATTTCAGGAGAAAAATATTTACCACTTGAAGTTGAAGGCAAAGAATCAATGAAAGAAGAAGTTGGCATTAAAGGAGTTCTGATTCCAGATTTAGACAAGGTGATATTTGCGTCCTGATTCGTAGATATATCTGAAAGTAAATTTCTTGGAGTCACGGTCAGAGGATCATTGCAGGATGACGCAGGCCTAATAGGAGTGGGAGTTCTTACTTCAGTCAAGTCAAAAGGTTCAGTAACTACCACTTCCGTTATAGGACTAGGCACATTACTTGAAAATGGAGAGATCTTCCTCAGATTTTGTGTGATAGGTAAGCTCTGACACTCGCGCCTTGAGAGTACATCATTGAAACATTCTTCATTTGAGTCAGTGTCATGAATATTAATTGAGTCGGGCTGCAAATGTTCAGCTTCAGTTTGACGTTCAACCGGATTTGTTGAAGATGGGTCTGGTCGGTCTGTGACAAAGGAAGGACTATAGTCCAACTCGTCAAATATGTCCCTATTGTATGGAACTATTCCAGTCACTCTGAATCCCCCTTGAATATTTCTTGGCGTCAACGCTATCGGGTAAGCTGTTTTGACTATAGATGGTATATCGTGTATTGTCATTGGCCTGCCAGGGTGATTGCGCATCCAAGCAGTACATGCACTGTTCACGGCTTTCTTCAAAGGTCCATTAACTGACCGATCAACTGGCTGCAACTTGTGGGTGCAGTGCGGGGGAAATGACAACATAATTATACCATTGGCCTTGCAGTAGTCCAAGGCTTCTATCGTTATATGGGATGGATGGTTATCTAAGGTCAATAAGACTTTATGTTCCAGAGATGCGTTGGAATGAACTTTGAAGTGATTAAGAAATATAAGGAATTCCTTCCCTTCCATCCAACCGGATTTATTTCCTGCGCCAATACATCCAATTGGGCCATCCCGTACAAAGTGAGGCTGATAATTTACCCTTGGAAACACGAACATCACTGGAATAGCGTTACCAATAGCGTTTACTGCAACTGTAATAGTTACTAATGTACCACGTTCTCCCGATGTAAGCGCTCCCACTTGTCTCATGCCTCTTTTAGTGACAATTCTATCAGGCTTATGCACTGTTGTAATACCGGTCTCATCCATGTTATAGATGTCTTGGGGTTCTAATTTTTCACGGTCCAATACAATGGCTAGATTGTCAAAAAATGGTTCAACATTATTTTTATTAAAACTGGTAGCTCGTGATAAGCTCGTAGCTTGAGCGCACCTAATTGATAGCTCCGGATGCCTTTTCATAAAACCAGTAAACCAGTCTTCGCTTGCAGTTTCATTCTCATCCCATGATTCTGGCCTA